CGAATAAACTTCAAATATTTGGGATATTCATTAAAATATTACAACAACTAACGTAAGCTTCTCTAAAGTAACGTTAGGCTACCGTCACGAAATCAAAATTAATCAAAGTCCTTACTAAGTAACTCTAAAGAATAAGCCAAAGAAAATCGCAGTCATCCTCGCGCACAGAAAAACAACAACAACAACAACAACAAAAATACCTTTCAGCCTCGGTCTTGTGCAGATTCTGCAGGTGTCTTGAATTATCTATTCCGTGCTTTACAGGTAGGATACAGTGTGAAAGTTTGGGGTTTTGTTTTTACACCCCTTCGCTTCTCACCAATTCACAGAAACCTCTTAAAGCCACAGTAGCTACTTATTGTTTCATAATATAAAAGCCTAAAAGGTTTAGCTAAGTTATGAAAGACTCGACTGTGTCTAAACTATGCGTTATCGCAATCCTTTTGATTAGGTGAAAACAGAGGGGTTCTCTGTTGACTATACATAAATGTAAAACATTTGCCCTTTCTATTATCTGCATGAAGTCTAATATCATGAGTTGTTGTTATACATCACAGAGGCCTTTAAAAGAGTTACAGCGATATTAACATAAAAAATAAACCATTTATAATTCATGAACTTGCTTTTAGACTCTATACCATGATGGTTTATACAGCCACAATGATTTAAGTAAGGGATAGCCTACATGAGTTTTATACACTCTCTTTGTCTGTAAAGAAAGAATTATCTTGACTATAAAGATTTAGGGCTATTATTTGTCATAAACATGACAGCCGTTGAGTGAGCTTTCAAAGCTGATCTAAATGAGGACTTCTTATAGGGACCAGAGATTGCTTTCTTTGATGATCTCAAAGCTGAACTAATCGATTTACCTTATTGTGTTGTACCGGTATCGAGAACTAATCAGTTCTTAAACAATTAAACATGTCATATAACTGTAACTGTGAAAATGCTATCCAAATATCGGTATAGAGTATTAATCAGTACATAAACAATTAAACATGGTACATATAACTACTGTGAAAATGCAATCCAAGTGTCTTAATCAAACATTCCTATTTCTGAAGGACTCATAAGCAGGGGTTAGTTTAATCTGGCTTCATCTGTTTAAATCCTGATTAGGCTGAATGAAGTTTCACTGAATGAAGGGAGGGTTTTCAGTGACCCCCATCCTTGTTTATGTATGTGTTTGTCCTGAGTGGGGTCATTGAATGGGTTACAATAACTAGACATGTTTACTATGGAAATTATGAAGAAATTGGTTTTATTTGCATGAGGACAATAAATGAAGGGGGAAAGATTGGAAAATGTTGCAAGCCAGACCCAAACTCATGTCACCTAAATATGAGCAACAGCTCAGAACGTGCACTAGGGTAGCAGCTAAAAAAACAAAAAAAAAAAACATTATAGTTCTTAAAACTGAAAAACATGTAAACCAGTGAAACACTACTTTTTAAAAGTTTATTTATTTTTTCACATCTCCAATGTAGTTTTATTGGAAGATAAGATGACAAAAGGCACAAATTCACAGTAAAATAAATAAATAAATAAAAACAAATAACATGACAAGGTGAGGTGAAAGAAAATAAATTCATATTTTTTTTTTTTTGTATTTCTAGAATCATTGGGTTTTAATTTCGACAACAAATTGTGAAATCTAACAATAACATATCTATGAGAAAATCCTGTTTATCACAATCTGCCTCACATAATGGTAACAACTGTTGATGAACAGTTCATGTGGATAGTTCCTTTTATAAGCCACCTGTCATTCAAACACCAACTTGGACTGATCAAGTTTCAATCGAGTCTCTTGAGGGAAGAATGGCAACCAAAACCCCCCAAAAAGGGCTTTTTCTCAAGCACAAAGGTCATAAACGTGGCTTCGTTCACAGTGTAAGCTTTGAAAGCAATTTGAAAGTGGGAGATTTCTACAGCTCACAGCAAAAATACAACAACAATCAATGAATGAAAACATATTTAGACACCATCCTGCCAAAGAGTAGCGGCGAGGGGCGGAGCCAGCGACAGTGATGGGCGGGGTTATCTGAAGATTCTGTTATAAATTGTTCAAATCACTTATAATCTAGTTTATAATTCCCTACACCAGCATACAATGCAACAATTTGTTCAAATTTATCTTAAAAAAGAGAACACAGTAACTTCACCCAGATAACATCCAGCCATTACTAAACTGCTAGCTCTGGTTGAGTTGATGGAAGGCTGTAGCCTGGCAGGATAGTCTGAACTATATTTATAGTTATATATATATATATATATATATTATGTGTTCATCTACATTTATTTATATACTATATACAATTCAATACATAAATCCATACATCACTTTGATTAGACTCAGGACCAACACAGTTCTGGTGTATCGGTGGTTATATTATGATGGTAAATGTTTACCTGCATTCACTTCCTAAGAATTCAACATAATTCTATGGGTGTAATTTCATTCTGTCAGAGTGAATTTAGGTGTGACGATCTTACATCATGGGTCCTGAGCATTGGCTGAAAGAAACACAAGGATGTAAACCTTTTGTTTTAGTTACATGTTGGATGTCCCTCACGCGAAAACAAGAAACACTGAGAACTTCAAACGCACATACATCCATACACACATTACGTTACTAAGAAAAGACTGATTTAAAAACCTATACGCAACCCATTTCAACTTCCTTAGCCGATTCCATATCAATAAAACTAGGAGCAAATGGAAGTGAGAGTATATTTGTATTAAAGTCCTAGGACGCGACATTCTGAGGGGGTGGACTATACACTCCTAAAGTCAATAGGACTATACACTCCTAAAGTCAAATATGTTGATTGGAAGGTTTTGAGAAAGGAGGTATTATTGCTAATATCTGGATAAATGCACCTTTATCCTCATGAGAAGTTATAAAAGGGGAAGTAAGAAAATCAATCCTTCAATAAAAAATAAAGGTGAGACGAAAATAAACATAATACATTTATGAATATCCTCCTTGAGCACCACTTCTGGTAGTGACAGAATAGTCAGGAAAAGTAACGTTCTCTATAATAGTATTAATAAGGTTTCAATAAATAAACCTTTTATGAAAGATGTCAAGGTTTAGCGTTACCTCTTCAAGTTCTTTTCAATACGGTTGAGACACTGACTAAAGAGGGCGGAACCAGATGTTGTAAACCAATCAAAAACAGATGAGAGGGCGAGCTACGCCTACTGTACACCTGTTCTTTTATTAAAATTAATTAATTAATAAAATAACGAGCAAAATAGCACATTATCACACACAAGGCAATTATGCATGAGAAGAGAGGACAATGAAAACCATTAATATTGACTGATTAACAAACAAACAACAATACTTTTAACTTCTTATTTCAAGAATGTTATACTGTTTGATGTAGCAATGCTGAGCTGATTTTAATAAACCATCTGTTTTGCTTTAACATATGAACTGTACTTGCAGTCTGAAGCTTTAACGTGACCAAGCAGCTGCCAGTCAAGATGAATCCACAATGCATGTTACAAATAAGGGTCAGGATGAAGGGACTGTGATTGTACACTACAGTAGGCTATACTATAAAGAGACACACTTTCAGCTTGGATCAGCTGGTAAATAAATTTAAAAGTGGGTAGAATAAAATGAAAACAGAGCAACAAAAACAACTCACTACTTGATTAAAACAAAACAGAAAAAACGTCTTGGTCCGCAAAAAAAAAAAAATCACTTAAAAACCCTGTTTGTACACCTGTCACAATAACTCCACTGCCAATAGATATTCTGAATATATATATATATATATATATATATATATATATATACGCACACACAAATATCATCTGCTTAAGATTAAACTCATCTTAAAACACAATTCTTTCGAGCTCCAGATTTAAATATAATGATTTGACATCATAAATGACGAACTGCTGATCGTCCCTGTAATAAGTATAAAGTAGGTAGACTTCATAAAGTGGGCATGACTTTTGAACCAGACAAGTAATAGCTTATTTAACTAGTCAATGTGCTCCATTGTCAGACAGAAAGGAGGAAATGGAGGATACTCAGGACAAACGGCCACGAATAGGGCTGGATGAAGGACTGATTACGATTAAAAAGACAAGTTGCTTTGATTTGATTGAGGGAAGAGATGCTGCTGGTCTCCACCTAAACTGAGAGAGATTCAATGGCAGGAGAGAGAGAGAGAAAACAAGAGAATTCGATTACTTTAAAAGTTAAACACCACAGTTATGTTCAGTTATGTTACTGATATGCTACTTACTAAAAATATTGTCCAGTACTACTTTTAAAATGTAGTTTTTAAGAAATTAATACTTTTACTCAAAAAGGAAGCATTCAATTTTTTTTTTTTTTAAACATTATACATTATATAACATTATATATCAATAAATATTTATTGAGCATCAAATCAGCATATTAGAATGATTTCTGAAGGATCATGTGACACTGAAGACTGGGGTAATGATGCTGGAAATTCAGCTTTGCATCACAGGAATAAAGGACATTTTAAAATATATTAAAATAGAAAACAGTTATTTGTAAGTGTAATAATATTTCACAATATTACATTATTTACCATATTTGTTTTATAAAATAAATGAGAATAAGAGACTTCAACCCCAAACTTTAGAACTGTAAGTTTAAAATAATTTACATGTACCATATAGATAGATATTATTATTCCATCATGTTGCATGTCATGTTCAATTATTAACATGTCACAATGCATGTAAGCGGCATATTATCAACTTGAAAATACATACGTTCATTTTACATTTTTCTTACATCCTTTTTAAAAATGCTTTTCATTTTTGTTCAATCAAACAACAAAATAGAGATTGTGGCTGTAATTACACCCGGTCCATGCAACACAATGGCACTGAAAGTTCAAGTGCAATGCACCGTGGAAGTATTCTAGGCATACACAAAATCTGCACACTGTACATACCATGTAAACTGCAACATAATTAATGTTAGTATTATAGTATATTAGCGCAAACATGTCAGTTTACTGAGTCCATATACTAGGAAATATGACATTATTTTTCAGTTCTCAATTGCTGTGTTCGATAAATGACGTTAGGGGGCGCTAAAGATCGTGAATTACCTTTATGAACAGCAGCATCCAGAAACACAGAGCAGCCTCAGTCTTCAAGAGCCACCATTCCTTTCACTGGATCCTTCACTCTCATCTGAAAGACAGCAATGGAGAAAGATGAATGCGTGCTTACTAAGTGAATTACTCCTTGCGGAAGAGGAAGGGGCTAAAGATTTCATTCAGGAAGGACTTATCCTGATTTGTCATATCGTTTTCACAGATTACGGAACGCTTGTGGGAGTCGAGGGGGAGACACTGATTTCTGGGATAGTCATTTAAAGTGTGAGAAACTCGGGATGCCGCCAATACATGACGTCACTCATTCCCTGGACGGCACCTGAGAGCGCTGAACTGTGACCCACTTCATTCTGCTGCCCCTTTTGTTCACAGCGACTGGACCTCATTATGACCTACATTCAATTATTCATCTGCCTTGTTACACGTTATTGTCTTTGTACTGTGGGAAAATGTGTGGCGGGCCGAATGTGACAACAGAACATAAACAAAAACTCAATCTCACAACAAATGTATTCAATTGTCTGTACTCTTCTGTAAAATCCTACAACAAAATTATCTCAGAGCAATTAGCTCATTAGGGTAACGGGCTAAAATTTCATAGTTCAAACTGAGAAACAGAGATCAGGGATGATTTTATAGTGGACAAAGACAGTGTAAATGTAATTCTGCTGCAGGGCGTCTCATCTGACCTCATCCAGTTGCCTCCTGGTGTCTTCCTCCATTCTGCGGATGTCGTCCATGTTCAGCTCGATCCATTTATCAATCCAACAGAACAGCTGCCGGTGGAAATTAGTGAACAAGCGCTTCTCTTGCTGTTAAAGGAAGAAAGAGGTACAAAGTTCATTTTGGAAGGTGAATTTTGTGTAGTTCTAACTGAAGTCCACAAGATGCCATGAAATGCCTATTTAAAGTCAACATGAAATGGCGATCACAACCGATTTTACTTCCATAATAATAATTTTTAAAAAGTTAGAAAGTTGATCAGGAATTGGAGAACATGCTTGTAAGTTAGTGGTAACTGTCATTTTATGATGGTATTATTTGTATATGTGGAGAAAATAATAAAGAAATGGGGGAGGTAACTATTTAACTTGACTATCCTTACCAAAATGCCCAAAAAACAGATTTCAACCCATACATTTCCATTCAAAAGTTTGGGGTCAGTATTCAGTATTATTTGATTAAAAAGAGAAAAACTGTAAAAACGGTATATTGTTAAATATTACAGTTTAAAATAACTTTGGTATATATATATATATATATATATATATATATATATATATATATATATATATATATATATATATATATATATATAAATAATTGAAGCATGGCAGTTGATTGGTTGATTAGATAATTGCATTAATGAGAAATTGAACAGGTGTTCCTAATAATACTTTAGGTGAGTGTATATATATATGTGTGTGTGTGTGTGTGTGCTGTTAAAGGGATCATGTGACACTGAAGACTGCAGTAATGGTGCTGAAAATCATATATATATATATATAATGTAAATTATTCTTGTGATGCAAAGCTGAATTTTGAATTTTCATGTCACATGAACCTTCAGAAATCATTCAAATATGTTGATTTGCTGCTCAAGAAACATTTACATTTTATTATTATCAATCTTGAAAACAGTTATGCTGCTTAATATTTTTGTGGAAACAGTGATACATTGTTTTCAGGATTCTTTAATGAATAGGAAGTTCAAAAGAACAGCATTTATGTGAATTAGAAATATTTTGCCATTTTATAAATATCTTTACTGACACTTTCGATCAATTAAATAATAATTCTTACAGAATAAAAGTATTTCAAAAATCTTACTGACCCTGAAACCTTTCATTGGTAGTGCATAATGTGGTTTGGATCAGGTTGGTAAACATCAGATTTTGTGGGGTTTTTGACTTAAAATATAAATAAATTTGAGTAAGAGCAAAGCCTATATATGACAGGTGAAAAAAAGAGCGCCAAAATAAGTCCTTACAGAAAATATGATACATTTTAATGTCATGTTAATGAATCACATAATGTAGATGTTTCACGCACATACCTTTTGAATAAAGTTTTCCACTTTGTTTTGCAGGCCCCACCACTTGAACTTGACAGTAACCAGTTTGTAGGCACACATGTGTGGGCAGTCTGTCTTTTTAGGTAGTTCTTTCTACACAGATCCAAAAATCCATTAAGCATTTGTACATCCTTTCCCATTAATAAGCTTCCCACTCATACATCAAGCATGCACATTTACACAAATGTTACACCAGTACACAGTCATTAAGGATGCTTATAGATACCTTCCAATCCGGACCAAGCGGCCCTCTTCCAGTTTTTACAGACTTAAACTTAGTGGGGTCTTCTTCTGGTTTATAGTCCTACAGAGAGATGACACTGATCATATTAGAATGTAACTGGAGAAGGTAACTACTTTATCTTAGTGAAGCTCACCTTTGGCTCCACCTGACTCCGGTCTGCGATGTCTATGTACACCACATCTACCTTCTTCCAGGTGTCTGGGTCTAAACCGTGAACCTATACAGATGACCGCAACATGAGTGTCAGGTTTTACACAAAACTGTGGTGTTCACACAAACATCATACATTACAATACTTACATTATCCTGCTGCCCCATGTCAGGTTTGTGCCACGTCTCGATCTTGATGAGGAAGTTTTCTTTCATATACTCATTCTAAGACAGAGATAATCAATGAACAAACTGATAAAACTATAACTGATCAACAGACTTTAGAGTGACTGCATGGATGTGCGTCCTCTCTCCTTTCACTGCAGCTAAAGTTACTGTCTTGTCTTTCACTCTCAAACAGTGTTTTATGTGCTTGTGATATACATCTACATGTTTAACATGTTTGTTCCGTCATATGACAGGTTGTACAAGAAAAAGTCCTAAGTGTGTGTATACTTGTGAGCAGTGCATACTTACAGTGATTACTGAAGTGATGCAGGACAGGCATTAGAAAAGAAAGATGATATAAATTAGAACATTTCTGTTCAAGAAAACAGCACGTCTCATTTAAGACCATTCCTAATTTTATTTAATCTCATCTTAGTCCATATGAATTCAACCTGGAAGCAAAAATACTGCAAATAATATCCATAACAAAACTGTTTTTTTATTTGTGATTTTATTGTTGAAAGCTGGCTTGAATAGACAATTCTAAATACTAAAAGTCTGCATTCAATTTAAATTGACCCTATAAATGCATGTTATTGATCTTATTGCAATCCATGCATGTTTCATTTTTAGACATTTTTGACATCAAATGTTCTTTATCAAAATGTCTTGATCTTGAATTTGAACTTGATTTCCTCAACTTTACACTCAGATGTACGTCACAAAACGTAAGAAAAGATCCCTCACTACTACAATTTCATTGCAACTTTAAGATGTATCATTTCCTATTCTTACAAGGTATTAAGGTTGCCAACTTGTGCAGTGAATATTTCTGAAATTTCATATTGATTCCTGAAACAGATGTTTGGACCTTTCCTGTGAAGGAAATGTAAGCTGGAGCTTAATTGAATACCACTGACACACTACAATGTTCCTGTATCTGTAGACACCTTGACATTGACAGATAGCTGGCTGGAAAACTCTTTTTTTTTCTAACAACTTACAGATTAAGAGGACAACTGGCCAAAAAATAATTTTGTTATTCAATGTTTTAAATACTATTAAATTATTAAAAAATGTATTACTACTCAATACTTGCCATATCAACTTTTTACAGTTTATTCAAAAGCAAACCTGTAACACTGCAACAAGATTTGCAAATATCTTGATGAACAGAGTTCAGCAAATGGAGAGTCTGCCATGTATGTGGCTGTGAGAATGATGTGAAGGGAATGTGTCAGTATAATCTCAGTTTCCTGTGCTGTAACCCCACTCCTTCTCAGCTCAAACAGTGAATTATTCAGTGCCCGAGAAACAGAGAGAATCAGATAGGATAATAATAAGAAAGCAAGAGGAACAAAGACCACATGAAAAAAAATGTAGGCTTGTGTCATGTGTGTGTGTGTGTGTGTGTGTGTGTGTGTGTTACCTGTGCGACAGTATGGGTAGGCGTTCCAAGCTTTCTCATGAATGTTCAGCGCTGATGCAGGTGCAAGCATTCTTACAAACGATGGGACTTTACTGGAAAAACAAAAATGCAAATGAGATGTAGAATTTTTTTTTTTTTTTACAAATACCACATTTAACGTGAAATGTGTCTCTTTTTTGTTAAAATACTTTGTCCAACCAATTGCACTGTTTGTTTGAGGAATTTAACCAGGGCTGCGTTCAGCCCCGACAAAACGTTGCACAACGTATTTTAAACAGAAACGGTGATGCGTTGAACGCACTGTTCTGATGACGCAAGAGTTGCAACTATGGCACCTGAGAAGGCCATTCTTTGTGAAGAATTTTCGGAGCCTGATGAAGTCGATATAAATATGTGTTTAATACTACAAAATATGCCCGTTGTTACAGTTACTGCACTTGCCGCCCAGAACACAAGAGAACATCCCAATCGAGTGAAGGTATTTGTGGAAACTGAAATGGAAGCACACATCTTACCTAATTCAGACTAAAACACATCTATTTAGCCTCACATACTGACTTTATTTGTAGTTCATACTGTTTTAATACCCTGTATTTTCTTTCTCATTTTTATGAAAAGCACTTAATTACTATTGTTTATTTCTATACCAAATGTCATACACTTGCAATGAAAATAAAAATATAAACAACTACATCATTATGTTGATATCCTATATTTTTACAATAAAACTTACGACAAACATGTCTTCTAATATCCTCAGTTGTTGCGTATACCGAGCTGTCCGGACACATTTGTAAATGACTTTCCTTGAACCCATTGTGTGAGTTCACTTTAATACCGCGTGCTTTATATACATGTTGCTGCTGATTGGACTGCAGTTCTGACACACCCACCAAACAAGAGAAAACGTATCTCAAACCCCGTTGCACACCGGTGCACGCCGTTTCCAGGAAACATGACGTTCAACCCGGAAACCGTAGCAAAACGTTGCGCACCGCTTTGAACTTGAACGTGCCCCAGATCAACATAGCAACAGTGGCTCAACCAATGGTGTGTGTTTGGGGTGGGGCTATCTGTTATTCTGACCAATAACAGAAAGGGGAGTGTCCAGATTTGGCAAGTCCGATTATAAGCAACTGTGGGCTTTTTTTTTTTTTTTTCACTTATACTTATAGTCACTTATAGATTTTGGCTGTGTTTTTTGGGCTTCTTTCCAGACCCAGAATACAGTTGCGTATTTGGGCTTGTTAATGGTTGGCACTCATAGGACAAAATGTAAGACTACAAGAACCGCTGCTCCCTATTGCAGAGTATGCAGTTTGCGTAGGGCACCAACTCTGTTGCTCAAAAAAATCCCCTTACAAAAAGCCCAAGATGAATTCCGTCCGTTCAGGCATGTTCACAATCTCTTGAATGAATGATTCAATGAAAAATAGGTCTACATGTTTTTAAACAGTCCCTTGTAGCCACCTACTGGTGTAACGATGTAATTGATTTAATCTTTATTTGAAGAGTCACGTTACTTTCATAAAGTGATTTTGATCGCTACTGTAGAGATCAGTGTTTACATCAGAACTATAAACAATGTAATTCTCCTTACAGCATCAATTTAGCCAGCAGCATATGGGATGATTATAGTATCAAAATGATTAACACGTGCAAGCACACTTATCAATGAACTTGACACATGTTGCAGAAATGTTTTATCCATGCCTTTCAACTTGCGTGTGCAAAATTCAAAATTGAATGAATGTGAAGCAATTTGTACAAATAGAGACATTTTTGTGAATACAAATGTTTTCCTTTGTATTAGTGTATCATAATTTGCACATGCAACACAGAAGATGTGCATGTGTGGATCAGGTGACACGCGTGCATTCATTGACGTCTTTTCTTTGTCGATCTCATTTGATTCATTTGGATTTTGAGACTTTCTTTTCGCAGTTTTTAAGCATTTCACAACCCACACACAAACAACTACAAATGAATAGGCCTGGTGCTAATTATTAATGTGTGCACAACTACCCATCTATTTGACAAATTCACAAATGTGCGTCACTACATTTAAACTAATACCATACAACTTGTGTGTGCAAAATCCAAAATCACATGAATGTGCAGCATTTTGTACAAATAGAGACATAGTTGTTAATACAAAACGAATCGGTTACCTAACGTAACCTCGGTTCTCTCTAGAAGAGGGAACGAGTATTGCGTAAGCTAGCTTACGCTGCGGGAAAGATTCATCTTTGCTGAGATATTGAAGCCAAAAATTATTTCATAAGTTGTATCCATACACAACGCAGTTCCTCTGCGGCAGACCTAGAGCAGGCTAGCTAGCAGCTCATTGGTTCGCTCAGAGAGAACTGCTTAAGCCTATGGGAGAGCGGGGCTGAACCCGCTTCCAATGAGAGGCGCCCGCGCGCTCATTGCGTCATGGCCCGCCAGAATGGGCGTGGCTATGGTGTATATAACAGTCTCTCCCAGGCTTATATGTTGATTTATTTCAGCGTGAAGCGAAACGCTAGTAGCGCAAGCACGGCAGGGAACGCAATACTCGTTCCCTCTTCTAGAGAGAACCGAGGTTACGTTAGGTAACCGATTCGTTCTCTTACGAGAGGTTCTCTCGTATTGCGTAAGCTAGCTTACGCTGCGGGAACACCTGGTCAACGCCGTGCGCGCTATGAATCCACTCATGAATCCCAGGGTGATACCGGGGGATTTTTAACGTGGAGTGAATGTATTATGAGGCCGGCAGAGCGGGCACATGAAGTGTATACATAAGCATGTAAAAGGCCGGCAGAGCGGGCACATGAAGTGTGTAAGCATTTAAGGAGAGCACAAGGGGCGAACCGGTTGTGTGAGGGACTCCCAGTAATGCAGCTTCTTAGGGAGCTGGTCGTTTAGACAGCTAGTAATTTTGCCTGCAAGGCGGGAACTTCCAAGTTGTAAAACCTGACAAAAGTGGACGGGGAGGCCCATCCCGCGGCCACACAAATGTCATGAATGGAAATTCCACAGGACCATGCCCACGATGAGGCCATGCCTCTAGTGGAGTGCGCCCTGATGCCCAGAGGGCAGGGCAGGCATTTAGATGCGTAAGCAGAGGCGATAGCGTCTACTATCCATCTAGACAGTGTCTGTTTAGAGGCGGCCAGACCTTTGGTGCGCCCCCCAAACGACACGAAAAGCTGCTCAGCGCGTCTGAACGCGGCAGCGCGCGTAGTGTACAATCTCAGAGCCCGCACCAGGCAGAGGAGATTGGCGTCGCGCTCACTATCGGATGAAGGCAGAGCCGATAGGGAAATAATCTGAGCCCTGAACGGGGTACCAATCGCCTTCGGGACATAGCCATGTCTAGGTTTGAGAATGACAACAGAATCATTCGGACCAAACTCGAGACACGCAGCGCTGGATGAGAGCGCGTGAAGATCCCCCACGCGTTTTACTGAGGACAGAGCCGTCAGAAAAACGGTTTTGAGCGAGAGGTATTTTAGGTCCACAGACTCGAGCGGTTCGAACGGGGGTGCTTTCATAGCTTCCGAGAACTATAGAAAGATCCCAGATAGGAACCGAAGGGGGGCGCGGAGGGTTCATCCTCTTAGCTCCCCTGAGGAAGCGGATGACTAACTCGTCTTTGCCCAGGGACTGAGCGCGTCGGGGTACAGAGAACGCCGCGACGGCTGCCACGTAAACCTTGAGAGTGGAGGGGGATCTGCCCTTGTCCAGCATCTCTTGAAGGAAAACAAGCAAAGACGGCACCTCGCATGACCGTGGGTCCAGATGTTTGTCGGTGCACCATTTTGAGAACACAGACCATTTAGACGCATAGAGCCTTCTCGTGGAAGGTGCTCTAGCCTGTATGATAGTGTTTCTTACTCCTTCTGGCAAATCAACGAATAGTCGTTGATCACCCATGCATGTAGCGCCCAGCGCCGTGGATGGGGGTGCCAGATCGTGCCGCGAGCCTGAGAGAGGAGATCTGCTCTGACTGGGATGGGCCACGGGGCTGTCTGCGACAGCTGAGTGAGCTCCGGAACCCAATTCTGACTCTCCCAACGCGGGGCTATGAGGAGCACCGAGTGGCGTGTGTCCCTGATCCTCTGAATTACCTGTGGTAGCAGAGCGATCGGAGGGAATGCATAGAGCGGGCGGCGAGGCCATTCCTGGGCTAGCGCGTCCTCGCTCCTTGAGAAAAATATTGGGCAGTGAGCGTTCTCTTCTGACGCGAAGAGGTCCACTTCTGCTCTGCCGAATAGCCGCCACAGTATTTGGACCGTTTGTGTGTTCAGGGACCATTCTCCTGAGGAGATGAGGTTCCTGGACAGTATGTCTGGGCCGTCGTTTAGATGGCCCGGCACATGCGTCGCTCTGAGCGAGAGCAGGCGGCTCTGAGACCAAACTAAAATGCGGTGTGTCAGTAGGAAGAGATTCCTGGACCTGACACCGCCCTGACGGTTGAGATAGGAGACCACAGCCATGTTGTCCGAACGGATCAGGACGTGGTGTCCCCGAATGAGCGGGAGGAAGCGCGAAAGCGCGTTCTCGACCGCAAGCATTTCCAGACAGTTTATGTGTAAGGGGCATTCCTGTGTCGACCAATGGCCGAAGGCCGGTGAGCCCTCGCAGACTGCACCCCAACCCGTGTTGGATGCATCTGTCGAGATGACTTTTCGGCGAGAAAAGGTCCCCATCGTGACGCCCTGTCGAAACCATTCTGCTACTGTCCATGGCTGCAGCGCCGTGAGACATGTCTGCGTAACTCTGATCAGCTGGCGGCCCGTGTTCCACGCGCAGTGGGGTACACGGCTGTTTAACCAAAGCTGAAGCGGACGCATGTGCAGAAGGCCCAGCTGAAGCACAGCGGAGGCTGAGGCCATGTAACCCAGCATCCTCTGAAAAGTTTTCAGAGGTGAGCGGGTGCCCATCTGAAACGAGGCGGCCAGTCGCTGTACACTGCGCGCGCGCTGTGTAGACAGGCGAGCCGTCATCGTGACCGAGTTCAAATCTATTCCTAGAAAGGAAATCGATTGACTGGGTTGAAGGGAGCTCTTTGTCCAGTTGACAGAGAGGCCCAGCGTTTTCAGATGGT